GCATAAATCATTGATGTTGATTATTCAGATGCCCAGGCTTAAGATTTCAAATGATTGAATCGAGTGGTTAGGAAAATTAAACCTATTTGGTAGGTTATAACTCTTTAGATACATCTATTTTTCATCTTCTTGCTCTGGTTGAGATGGAGGTTGATCATTCGGGTCATTCTTCTGGAGGTGCGACAATTCCCCTTCTACTGGAGTAATTGTTTGTCTTCTTGGACTTACTGGGTCGTGGTGAATTGCTGGTTGATCGTCAATCTCGGGCTGTTCTATGTTACTTTTATTTTTTTTTCAATTTTATTTTTAATTGAATTGAAATGAAAAAAAAATTGAAATCTTTTTGGTTCAAAAACTATTTTTCTAAATAGTAAAAAAAGAGGAAAAAAAAAGAATAGTTTTTAGGAGAAGCTAATTTTCAAGAGATTTTGTTAGTTTTGCTGCTGACGGAGCAAAGTGAAACACTGAAAGTTTCAAGCCAGACCTTTGCTCGTAAGTATAATTGGGCGGCTGATACATCTATCAAAGTACTCAGTTTTCACCTGCTCCTTCATTCTGCATTCATCATAAAGGAATTATCAAGTAGATCTTGTTGGTTTTTTCATAGAAATTTTCTTTATTTATCGGTCGTTTATGTTCAAAACTGCAGCTTTCAACTCTATCTTTTCACAAATTCAAAATTTTTTATCTGATGCAAAAGATTCCAGGTGCAGTTTATGTTTCATCTCTACTTAACCAAAACAAAAAAAAACCCTGGACAGCCAGCAAGGCTGATAAAAATTAATCCAATTTGTTTGATGTTATAGTTAAAAGGGACGAAGGGACGTGTTAGTAGTCGCCACTCTTTGGAAATAATGAGCATAAAAAATCAGAAATTTTGGATGAGTGTTTTAAAAGTAGCAATTTTTTTTAAACAAAAATTTATAGTCTGAAGAAGAATAAGTCAGTCAATTTCTGTTTTAATGAATGGAGTTTTTAATTTAAATAGAGCGCACATCTTGGTTATTCAGAAATGAGTCCTACTCAATCTCAGTAAACAATTAAGACAATGGACTTCGATCCGTGTAGTATTCGCATAACTACGATGTAAAATCGGGATTTTGCTTGAAACCTATTCTTCCGAGTTGCTAAGAGTTTTGAATGTTTGAATTATCAAAACTTTTTATCTGTTTTATTTCATCTGCAATTTAACCTGGAGAATCATTATTAGTATGGCTATTATTATTGTACATATTGTCAAGATCAGAGAAGCTCTCAAAAAGCTGTTTTTTTGATGTTTGACTAATATATTATTTTGAATTGAATGTTTGATGCGTATTTAACTGTTTTCTATCACCCATTTTCTTCGAAATGTTCTTTTCGAGTGATACATCGTTGTGCGTTTGCTAATAGTTTGTAGCACTCGTGAAAACGAAATTAAAATTTTGTACATATTGTTTTTACAAAAAGAGAACAAACGTGGCGGAGCTTCACGTCCAGTAAAATAATCAAGGACAGGCATAACTGGCAGATGTGTAAACCAACTGAAATGGAGCTCAGTCTGTAATCTGAGCCGTCCACTTACAAAAAGCACCCCCTCCCACCTCAATTCTGTTGATCTAATGTTTCCGTTCACCTTAAAATTTTGGACTATCGATGAACCTTAAAGTTTTTCCAAAGAGTGTTATTCGCGCCAATACATGAAAATTACAATGTATGCGTTCTCAAAAAAATTAACTGATTGTTTTGGTCTATATTTTTCAGAAAATATATTTTGGTCTGTTTTTATATAAACTTAGCTATCATGCAGTTTGCTTCAGATCATCAACTAATTTTTGCCAAGTCATCTTCGACCCAATTAAATATATATTGAAAAACAAACACGAAAAAATTTTGAAATTAAGGGTTGCTTGTTGTGGATTCTTTTTGAGAAGTTTGACTTTCACTTGTCCATTTTTGTTCTAAAGGCGAATTTTTTTTAGCTTTGAGGGCGAGTGCAAGCCTATAAAACTCCGTTTTTGTTCCAAAAAGCCCCAAAAAACTCCAAAAAAGCTCTAATTATTCAATAACTCTAATTATTCTCTAATATGTTCGCAATCAATTAAATTGCCATAAACATGAATGAATTGGTTAAATCTGATTAGAACTAATTAATTTTCGGGCACCCCTAAGAAGACGTAAGTGGCCACTACCTTCATCGGAAAAAAATATATATTTGTTTTTTCTTTTCTACCTAATGAGGCGAAAAACTCAAATACCGGTCCAAATAAGACTATAAAATGCAAACGAAAGACCTTCCAATGTCAATTGCTATTACTCGTAATTAATACTACATGAAATTTCTTCTAACTGATTTTTCTCGAGCTAGAGGTATATGAACTCAACTTAACAAGTAGACAATTTACCAAATAATTAAGAATCCTATCAATACAAATTTTTAAGTGTTTCAAAGATTTTGGCAGCGGTAACGGTAGTCGGAAAGTCTCTAATTCTAACACAAAAATTCATGTCAAGAATAAAAAGACACGCATTTTTTTGTTTTCAAAGCTTACAGGTTTTTCTTGCAAAGCTTAAACTTTTATTAGTCTTCCGACCCTCAACGAGTTTTACTTTCAAGTGATTGTTTTGCAACAATTCAAGAAGTGTAGAAACAGTTCGAACTTTTCAAACAAAACTCAAGCGACGAATTGCTGGATTATAGTTGAATCAAGTTACCAGTGAAAGATAAGGCTCAAAATTGGAGACACCAAAATCAAAATAATTGTGAAAAATTTTAGGTTGAATTCTATAATACTAAGATTTAAATAAGAAATAATTAATTAAAATAGTGAAGGGAAAGAAACCGATACTCTGCTACCTGTTTTATTTTTCCCCATCGCGTTTTTCCTTGGCTTTTCCATTGTGACGCTGCTGCATGGAATGGTTTGACATATTCTACTTTCGAATCTGAAAAACCAGTCTTCCGATGTGATTCAGGTTTTAAAAGAAAGCTTTCAAGATTCTTCCCTCTCACTGAGCTCATTCTTTTTTGATTGGATCATAAGATTCAACCTGATTTTAATAACGATTTTTTTTTGTTTTTGATGTCTTCACTTTTGAATCTCATCTTATAAAATCGAAAACCTAACGATATACTTTTGTGCATGCCATTAGCGCACGAGTTGAAAACTGAACAAAGTCAAGTTAAAGCCAAATTCTCAATTTGAAACAGCATTACTTTTAACTTTCAAACTGAAAACTGAATGCAACTAACTTGGCTAAATGAAAATCTCAGAAATATCTTGAAATCGGAAACTAAGAATTTCAAATGCCACCCTTTTTCTAAACGTTCTCATTTCTTGTTTCTTCTGTTTCTTTTTTTTAACTCATAATTGCCTCCTTCTAGATAAATTAACTTTTCCCCGGAAATTAACTATCCGGAAGTTAGCTATCCGGTGTTTTTAAAATACGAGCACAAAGAACTAATAAACACTGTGTTTTCCAAAAAGATGATTTCTCGTTGACCAACTGCGCGACAACATAGTTGGACTTTCCGTTAATTAACTCAATTAACTTTTAATTTCGTTCGATAAAAACAAATGAAACATATTGTCAGGAAATTCTGTCA